AGAAAAGTGGTGATGATTGTGGCAGGCAGATGTCTTGGAGGTTAAGGCAGCTAAATCCCACAGAGCCAGCTGCTTGGTTGGAGTCATGGAGTACTGAGCCCAGTGGTTTTTCTCAATGGCACAATGTGCGTGTCCAAACTCCTGAGAGAAGATTAGAGAACAAGAGATTGCAGGGTAGTCACCCCTCAACCGTGGGATGCCTTCTCACTTTCCCCATCTCCCTCTGTCTCTGGCAAGTGCAAATGACCCATAGCAAAAAAGATAAAAAGAAAGAAAAGAAAGAAAGAAAGGAGGTGATGATAGACAAAGAGAAATTACACAGAATTACCACTTACTCTTATCCAGTTAGGCTGATACTTTGGAATGCTAAACAACGTGAGGGTAGAATTTAAAATGATAACATGGTTTGGAGACCTATTAATAAAAAATGATGCAGTCCCCAACAGAGATTAAATAAGATAATATTCTGTCATCCTAGCTTCACCACTTTTATCTGGTTACTGAGGTCTCTGATCCTCTGTCCACATGTCTGCTAATGGCATAATGTATGAAAGGGTTTCACCTATCCTAGACTCGGTAAATGGTGCCTGTTGTACATGTTGTACATGCTGGAATCAGGACAGCATCAGTAGTTTGTAAAGTCATTGACTTTCTACCAATGCAACCAGAGTTGAGAACCACAACAGTATGTAGGCAATGTCTCACTGATGGGTTGAATTAATACTTAGCAAGAAATGCCTTAATAAAGGGTGCTGTGAACAACGAGTTTTAACAACATTTCTGTTTGTTCTCCATGGTGACCTCAGAATTGACACAGTAACATCTTAGTCTAACATGGGATTTTCTAGCAACATGTTTAAGAAACGTCCATGTTATAAATTTCTTTTATAAACATATATGTACATTTATATTTTCTATTTTCCTCAATTTATAACCATAGTTTATGAAAGATTAGCTCTATTTGAATAATGACAGTAACCATACTGGAATAGCCTTCTCCTAGGGACATTATTCATGTTCTAGTTTTACTATGGCTAAATAATTTGAATATTTATGTTAAGACAAACATAGAGCTATTGTGGGGTAGAATATATATTTCTTGTCAATTCTAAAGCTACAAGACTTCAAAAAAGCAGTACCTGCTTTTTATCAGGTACTTCTCTACTCCAGAGCTCCTAGTAGAATGAATTTATTCTCCCTCTGCCCTTGAAACTAGTTTAGGGGGAAAGTTTGAAGACCATCGAACCAATGGAATCATTTGAAATGTGACACTCTCGCTTGACTTGGTTTCAAATCCTCAGCAGTTGGAGCTTCTTGGCTTGTCTCAAATGCTAGAAATACCGTAGCATTTGTCACTTCGATTCCAGCCAAGGGTCAAATGCTGTATCACACATAGCAGCTAAAATAAATTCTTTAAGTTGTTTTTGTGGTTGACTTAACTTTATTCACATGATAGCTATAGAGGCTGACAAAGACTTCCTCTAACAATCCTTCTGGAGGGTTGAATTAGTGTTTGGTTGCAGCCAGTGTGGGTTGAAGGGTTGTGTGGTGAGACAGATGAGGGGCTTGATACATACATCTTCGTGAATCTGGTTTAATTTTAACCTTATGGCTTGTCTAACACATTTGCAGCAGGAGTTGGGGAATAAATCTAATGCTGACTGACACACACTTGGCAGGCCTTGAGAGCAGCATCTTTAAAGAGCATACAATCAATCCTAGCACTGGGGTGCGGCGGACATGGTGAGTGCTGGTCAGAGGTGCTGTGAGTGCCAAGAGCAGCACCCTTGATAACGACGGCAGTGGGATCTCAAGGCATTCAGCAGGCAGCTCTGGAGTGTCTCATTAATCCCAGGAGTGTGCCATGGTCTCTCAGTACTGATAGGACCTCACAAGGAGCCACATAAGGATAACTGTAATCAGGACCACAGTGAAGTTGAGACACAGCTCCCGGGTGGATCGCTCCATTATCAGTGACTTGCTGAGAACTTCACGCAGACTTCTGAAAGCACACCAAAGACCTCCGGCTTGTCCTCACCCCTAACAGAGATAACAAAGAAAATACGGAGAGATTCATGAGCATTACGATGAAGTTCATTCTTTCCTGTCAACAAATAGAAATGCTGTGGGAAAGGAGCATTAGAGGCTGCATTGTGTGCCCCCCTACCCCACCACAACAAATTCATACGTTGAAGTCCTAACCCTCAGCATCACAGAATGTGACTGTATTTGGAGGCAGAGTCTTTCGAGAATAGTTTACATGAGTTCCTTAGGAAGAGTCCTCAGCCAATATGACTGGCATCCTTATAAGAAGAGATGAGGATAAAGATACATGTGAAGGGGCCAGCAAATGACATAATGGTTAGGTTGCTGGACTCCCACATGGACAACAGTGGTTCAAGTCCCACATGTGATGGCTTAAAATTCATGCTGGGTGCATGAGTGTGCATGCTCAAAATTCCAAGAGGAGAATGGAGGAGAAGGGATTGCGGTGTGGCCATTTCCCTTGGGGAGGCGATTTCTTGCTTTCTGTCTCTCTGTCTTTCTAGCAAGTATAAGAGCCTTATAGGAAAAATCTCTCTTAAAAAATAAATAGGCATGTGAAGACTTAGGGAAAAGATGGCCATTTACAAGCCAAGGAAAAAGGCCTCAGAAGAAGCCAACACTGCTGACACCTTGATCTTGGACATCTGACATCCAGGCCATCTTTGGATTAGAGCTACAACTCTTCTCTAAGTCTCCCACCTGCAGACCTACTCTGTAGATTTTGGACTTGCCAGCCTCCATAGTCCCATGAGCCAACACACACACACACACACACACACACACATACACACACATACATTCTATTGGTTGTTTCTCTGAAGAACTCTAAGCCTAGCTTCTTTGTCTGATGTCATAAGGATCAAATTGTTTTTAATCAATAATTTTTATTAACACAACAATTGTTGCAATGAGAATTTTTAGTACATGACTATAATGTGTAATGATTCAATTGGGGGTTGTTTTTTCCTGTGATAATTTTGTTGATGTTTTTAAAATAATAATTATTATTGGGACCAGCAGTTGGCATAATGGCTATGTCACTGGACTCCCATGTAGTCAATCATGGTTCAAATCACAGACCCAGTGGCTTAAACTCACGCTGGGTGTGGGTTCATGCGTGCCCAAGATCCCGAGAGGAGACTGGAAGAGAAGGGATTGAGGTGTGGCCATCCCCTTTGTGGGGTGATTTCTCACTTTCTGTCTCTGTCTTTTTGATGAGTGCCCTATAGCAAAAACCTCTTATATATATATATATATTACATTTTTCTCCAATTTCCATACGTATGTGTATGGATGTGCTCACTTAGCTAACTTAGAGTAACAGTGAACAGGGGTATCAAAACAGAAATGTGATGGTTTGATATTATTCTTGCTTTGAAATATACATGGAAGTAGAATATCACAATCTTTCAGGGTTCGTGCTGCCATAGGTCTTCTTCTAACCCTACATGAGGTAGTTTCGACAGCTGCATGGCCTCTTACTAGCCCTGCCCTGGGCACAGAGCCTACTGGGATCAACCAAAAGTCCCTCACATAGCAGGCACACCGTCCAAACAACAAGTGTTAACCTCCTGGGTACTTCTATTTCAACAAGGGCTTGTGCCAGCTATTTTTAGTCAGGTCCAGGATGTGCCTGGATTGTAAATACTTCAAAGATCAACAATGGTATCTTCATATACTGGGTACAAATCGTGTATGCAAGAAATGATACTTTGAGAAGATATCTCTGTAGCCAACCATATTCTTACCTTCAGTGATGTACTATGATGGGCACTCTGTTTAGGCAATATAAATGAAATGAAAGAATTCTATATTTTAGATAATTTGAGATAATTAGATATCTTACTTTAGATATGTAAGATATCTAAAGTATGCTAAGGAATGGAAATTTTTAGAGGGAAAGGATGTTTCATTTGTTTGCTAAGGTAGACAATCAAGGGGCTGAAAGGGTTATTGGCCGACTTTTTGTCTCAGTGGTATTTTCAGCCATCTAACCTGACCAAATTATTCATTTTAATTACTGTATTTATTGTCTGGTCAATAGATAACATTATTAATTGTGTAGATTTAAGCTGGTCCCACATTTGTCATATTATATGATTGTTAGCAAAACATGGAGGCTCAGATGTGATGCTACCAACCAGTAGGCTTTGACTCCTGGTTAAAATTTGGCTGATTATTACTGGTTTATGTTTCATCTTCCTTTTAATTGTTATCCATCTTTTGGCCGTCTGCATTGTAGGAAAACATAAGCGAATGAAAATGAATAAAGGAAGAAGAGAGACTATATAATGCACACAATGGCCATGCCCATAGTGCCAGTTAAGCACTGCTCAGAGAAAGCCAGATTCCATGTGGTCAACCAGAGTTCGAGTCCCAGCAACCTGAAAAACACACTGGGCATGTGTACATACCCCAGGATCCTGATGGGATGAAGAACTGGAGGAAATAAGGATTGGAGCATGACAAGCCTCTTTGTAGTATGCTTTGTATTTTCCCCTCCCTCTCTCACTTCCTTCTTTCTCATGTGCAAGTGTACCATATGGCGTGTGTGTGTGTGTGTGTATAATGTATACATAACCAGAGGAAAACAGGAAGGTGATGAGTCCAGTCAAAAAGCCTGGAAGCAAATGAATGAGAATTAAAACAGCCTTCTCTACACTTTTTAATGAAGCCTAAGCCTAGCCCAAATGCCCATTTATTTGGCTTACTTCTCAAGAAATGCAGAGATATGCAGAAAGTATGAAACTTGTTTATAATGATCAAAACAACCCAATTCAGGGATGGCGAGTTAACTGTCCCACCAAATCTACTTATTGAGATTAAAATCTTAAATAAAAGGAATCACAAATAGTGGCCCAATAGGAATATAGTCATAAAAAAAAAGAAAATGATGCTGAAAGCTGTTTTACACTCTGTTCATGTTATCAGTACAGTTCAGGCAAGTGTCACGGTGATTTTGATCTCCCCCAAGATTACAGTTGAGAAACCGACTTTTAGAGAGAGGTTAAGTTGTTTATATAATGACACATAATGGGACAGAGGCAGAGCCAGAACTGGCAGACTAGGGTTAGTTACTAGAATTGAGGTCACTCCATGGAAGTAATTACAAGAATGGGTTGATATTACAAATTTAGCATAAATTTCAACTACCACAGAAAACAATTTGGCATTTTTCCATTAAGCTTGAAAATTCTTACTCTCCACTATCTATCAATTTCACTTCTACCCAAGATAATTCAAATACATTTACACCAGGCTACATATATGAGGATGGTCACAGTAACATTTTCACAATAACTGCAAACAAGAAACAACTCAACTGTCCACGAGTGATAGAATGAATACTGAGTTGTTGTATTATAATATTATACAGCAAAAATATATATGAACTGTAACTACATACACAATGAGTGATTCTCACAATTATAATTGTTGGGTAAAAGGAGAATTTGCAACAGAAACATAGAATGTGACTCTATCTATATGAAGTAAAAAAAAGTGTGAGGGGGGACTTACATTACTTAGGAAGGCAGACATAAGATAGTAAAACTATTAAGAAAAGGAAGGATAAGATAATCTCTACATCTTGGCACCAAAGGGCAGAAGGGAGAGGTGGTCAGGAATGACTTCGGGAGTGCTGGGAGTGGCATGTCTTGACCCAGGTAATACAGGTGTTGCTTTATAATTATTATTTAAATTATGTGTGCTTTACACACTTCTCACAGTTTTTTTCAGTCATCTCTGCACTCATCACACTTCTTTCTTTCCTGTGGTTTACCTCTTACTATTTCTTGCACTTTGATGGTGACCTTACATATTTATCATTTTGTATGTTTTAAATGAATAAAACATGACAAATTAAGGTGAGAATAATCTACTTCAGTCAACACATGTGCTAACTCTAAGGCATGAACTTTGTTTTCACACACATTTATATCCTCTAGGAAGAACGAAGGCAGGTTAGGCAGCAATTCAGATCAGCAAATCTCTATTTTTTCTGCTATTAACTCACAAAATTTCAGCTTCATTTTAAACATTCCCTGGAATCAAGTTCACACCATGCGATCCACAGAGATTGCCATATAAATGAACTAAAAGCCAAAAGATAACTCTTTGAATAAACTATACAGGAAGCTTGACATCGGCCTTCTTTGAAGGAAGACTTTGAGAAGATGGTAGGCAGGCTTTCTTCTATGATACAAAAAAAAAAAAAACACCTTGTAAAAATAAGGAAGGAGACGTGCATACTCTGAGGAGAAAGAAAAGGAAAACAGAAATCAAAGAACATCTTAAGATACACTGTACAAAATGAGCATTGCCTGTGTCATTAAGAAGTATAAATATGCCTTTCTCATTTGCAGCTTTTACACACAGGCGCACACGCACACAGTATGCTAAGCATAAAAATCCTGCTGTTACCTGGAGAAGGTCAAGGACACACCCGGTGTGGTAGGTTTCTCTTTGTACTGTCCACTCTGGCTCCAGCTCCTGCCGGCCTCCCAGGCTGTCTGGACTCCTGGACTCTGAGCAGGGCCTAAAGTAGTCTGAGGGAGGTGGCAATCACCGTGATGTCACTGAGGAAGCATCTCAAAGGAACAACCTCTGAAGCTTCGAGGCTATTTGTGTTCAGGGGGACATGGAAATGTGTTGACTAAGACTTTGTTTCTTTGGCTGCCAATGCATAGGAACACCACGGGGACTTAAAACTGCTGTTTCCAGCTGACTTGAAGTGCAATTGATGTGGGTTTTAAATTTATCTCTTACATCTTCATGAATATCTCTAACATGCCTTTAAGACAACATAAAACAAGAGTAATTGACTTGTTTTAACAAATCGATTCTGATTTTGGACTGCTCTTCCTATTGAGCGTGTGACGGTGTAAAAAATGTGACTTGATTTACCATCCATAGATTTAGCTACTTGGAACGTGAAGAATTATCTGCCTTGCACCCTGCCCTGCACACCATCACACACTCCATACCACACATACACACACACGCACATTCCAGAATTTAATAGCTATCTTTAGCTCCTTCCAGATTGACTTTAGTGAAAGCTAACCTCTCTGTCACCTGCTCTACACAACTTTCCAACTATGGTGCCCATGGCAAGTTTACACGTTAATCTACAGTTTCACCTGACACAGCTGAGGAGGTGTGGTTTGTGTACGTCTATTAGCAATAACTCAGACAGCAAAATTTAGTTCTCTGGTTAGATGCTGTAGAAGGATAACCGGTCAAAAGTAGTGACAAATGTGAGTTGTCCAATACATCTGAAATAACTAAAATTACATAACTTTCAAATGTAAACACTAAGATTAGACTTAATATGAGTTTGTAACACAGATGTTTGGAGGTAAATGGAGCCTCTGATATGTTTAATTGCACTTGAAAGCAGATCAATTAGGCACTTTAAACATGACCTCAGCAATGCTGTTTGCTCAGTGAACCCTTCATAGATAATAGGGCAAATCTCCTCCCTAAATTCTCAAGTAGGGTCATAAAAAAAATGCACTTGCAAAAGGCATAAACAAAATCCTCTGTGTGGTTGTGTTCATAGTCACACCTTTCCCACCAGACCTCATAATCTAGACATTGCTAAAAGAAAGACTTCCCATCCTATTTTTCTCATTTCGACACAAATCTAATGGTGGGTAATCTCCATGAAACATTTTGTCGCCACTAGCCTTGGGAAAAAATAGCTTGTTGAAATGACAGATAGTGTATAATAATTATAGCACAATCGAACATTGGCAGTTATTTGCTGCCATCTGGAAAAACTCCTTGAATGTAGTCAGATTTCTGTCTTTTGCTTCCAAGCCCTTGCCAGATTGTTTCAAATGCTGAAAATGTTTTTCCTAGTCACCAAGTCACACCTGTCCCTTTTTTTAACCACTTGAAATTATTTCTTACCAGTTAAAAATTTATATCTTTATTGTAGAAAATTTGAAAATATATAAAAGTATAAAAAATTTTAAACTACTTTTATTTTTTTGAGAAGTTTTTGCTATAGGGGGTGTGCGCTCGCCAGAAAGACAGAGAAACAGAGAGACAGAAAGCAAGAAATCACCCCCCAGGGGGGATGGCCATGACGCAATCCCTTCTGCTCCATTCTCCTCTCAGGATCTTGGGCACACACACACATGTGCCCGGCGTGAACTTAATCCACCTGGCCCAGGACTCGAACCGTAGTTGGCTACATGGGAGTTCAGCAACATAGCCATTACGCTAACTGTTGGTTCCTTAAACTACTTTTAACCTCATCACTCAAAGAGAAATCTGTATATATATATATTTTTTTTGGGGGGGAGAGGTTTTTGCTATAGAACACATGTGCTTGCCAAAAAGGCAGAAAGAGACAGATAGAAAGAAAGCAAGAAACCACCCCCCCAGGGGGGATGGCCACGCCATAATCCTTTCTCCTACATTCTCCTCTCAGGATCTTGGGCATGCATGCACATGCACCTGGTATGAGTTTAAGCTGCCAGTCTGAGACTCCAACCACGATCACTTATATGGGAGTCCAGTGACACAGCCATTACGTCAACTGCTGGTCCCAATTTTTATTTATATGTTTGAGGCTGCACAGACATAAGCTCAAATTCCCAGGATACTTTTGGTAAAGGAATATGATATGTGAAAAGTCCTTCTCTTTTTTGATTCATTTATGATTTTTCTATGTGTCAGAATGCGAATGAGTCCTCCAATATTTAAAATGCTAAATATAATGGAGAAATGTTAACATATCACCAAAACAGCTAACAAATACTATCAGTTTGATTGAATCAGTCTATTTCCATGTAAGTTAGAAGAAAAATCCTGTTGTTTATTTGACTAAATTGATGAGTAAATTTGGCTTGTATATCTGATTTCTCATTAAGGCACATCTAATGCTGTACCAGGGACCGTTGTGCCCAGTACTTTGGCAAATTCCCAGACTTCAAAAACTTCTGTATTTAGCTTCCTTTTGGCTGGAACCACCACTTTCCAGTAATTAACCAAAATGACAAACAATAGGAAAGAGGAGAGGCACCCGATATATGTTCTCTAGGCCTTTTGGAAAACATGGAGTGGTTCCTTAGGCAACGTACATGTGAATCTACAAGAAAGGTGATATTGTAGACATCAAGGGAGTGGTACTGTTCAAAAGGGATGCCCCACAAATGTTACCATGGCAAAACTGGAAGAGTCTACAATGTTACCCAGCATGCTGTTGGCATTGTTGTGAACAAACAAGTTAAGGGCAAGATTCTTGCCAAGAGAGTTAATGTGCGTATTGAGCATATTAAGCATTCTAAGAGCAGAGATAGCTTCCTAAAACGTGTGAAGGAAAATGATCAGAAAAAGAAGGAAGTCAAAGAGAAAGGTACCTGCGTTCAACTAAAGCACCGGCCTGCTCCACCCAGAGAAGCACACTTTGTGAGAACTAATGAAAAGGAGCCTGAGCTTCTGGAACCTATTCCCTATGAATTCATGGCAAGATGGGTGTTAAAAATAAACTAATCTATGGTCTATACAAATGTTTTCCTTAATTGAGTAGAATTGTGTTCCCTCCCCAAAGCTAATTTTTATTGGGCTCTAATTCATTTTGTAATATCTTTATTCGCATTTAGTATCTTTTTACCTGAAAAATGTTAGGTGGTATATGCAACAAATAAAACTTAGTTGGTTAGAAAACTATTAAAAAAAAAAAAAAAACTTCTGTATTTAAGTGATTCTTTTGTGATGTCATAAGAGATGGAGCTATGCTATGAATTTAGTTTGTCACTAGTTTGGTCTAACCCTCTCCAGAAAAATATGCAAGCCATCCCAAATCACCTGACAACTATCAAAGGCCAAAGGGAGAGTTCAAGCCTTGATAATCTGCAAGGTCATTAAAAAACAATGACATTACCGTCTCTCGTTTAAGAAGGTGAGAGTCACAAGATTTCAAACACCGATACCAAAACTTACTTTTGCTGATACTTTCCTTCCTGTGAGCAATTCCCATGACTTAACAGCATTCATTCCATATCATAAAATAATGCTCACATTGACATTGGCATTGTATCTCTAATTGGTATCTATGTCCCCTGCTACTGCCACTATGTACATTTTCAGGTATAAAATATTAAACCTTTTGAGAATTAATGCTGAGCTCTTGTGCCTGATTACTTGCTAAACTAGCTTGTTTAATTTATTCCTTACTTCCATCTACCTTTTTACTTTGAGAACTGAAAACTGAAACCCTCCGGTCAGTCCCTGAATTTTACAAGTCTATGAGGCGAAGGGAGATTGCGCCAAGGCCTTGATAGAAGGCGATAAGCTCTTAGCATATCACAGTAATGAGAATGATCATCACGCTGCCTTTCTCACCTCCCTGTCTTCACATCCCGCTGGTCATGGAGCTGCTGAGAAAGAAAGAGAGAAGCGGCTTGCTACTATTCTCACTCACTGTCCCAAACACACGAACACAAGCTCAGAGGGAAAGGAAACCTCACTTCTTGAAGTTGTCTCCACGTCACTGTTGCCACAATCATAGGCACACCCTACCCTTCTGGCAACAGGGAAAGTCCCAGAAAAGGTCAAGGAGAAGCTTGTGTGGTCACTTGCAGGATCTACACAGCACTGCTTACTCAAACATATTAGTCCAAGCCCTTTAAGAACTGTTCTCATAAGAGACTGCAGCGCAATGAAAGCACATAGACCTTGGAGTGACAAAAACCTTTGCTCATACTCTGAATTTCCCATTTACTAAGTAACATTAAGAAAATTATGGACCAGCCATGATGGCACAGTGACATGGTGGTTAAGGCAGCTGGATCCCCCAGGGTGGTGTGGTGGCATGGTGATTAAGACAGCTGGATCCCACATGGGATTAGAGTCCCGCATGCTGTTAGAGTCCTGGATCAGTGACTTGAAAAACATACCAGGCATGCATGTGTGTGTGCCCCAAATCCCAACAGTTTGGAGAAATGGAGGAGTAGGGATTACAGCATGGCCATCCCCCATGGGGAGTGCTTTCTCTCTCTTTCAGGCAACATGTCCTCTAGCAAATTACAGAAAAAAAAAAAAAAAGAAAGAAAGAAAGAAAGAAAGAAAGAAAGAAAGAAAGAAAGAAAAAGGGAATGTTGTTTATCCTTTCTGAGTTTCAACATCCCCATCTATAATACAAGGAATAATAACTCTCTTGAAGATTTATGGCCAGATTTATATACATTGACAATGTATGTAAAATCACGTCTTCCCTTCCACTACTATAATTTGATATTACGCCAAGCTCAGAGCCTCCCTTGCCTAAGTTAATTAACTAACAAGTTAAATTTTGCTATTTTTTCTTTTCATTTATAATAATTTAAAAAATAAATGAATAGGGAACCAGCAGTTAGCGTAATGGCTATGTCGCTGGACTCCCACGTAGTCGACTACGGTTCGTGTCCCGGACTCGATGGCTTAAAACTCATGCCAGGCACGTGTGCGTGCGTGCCCAAGATCCCGAGAGGAGAATGGAGGAGAAGGGATTGTGGC